TTAAAGGCATGCAAAAAGTTACACTGAGTAACGTCATTCAAAAAAAACTTAAAATAGGATTGTCAACTCCAACACTCAACACTTCTTCCTTTAACCCTTGTTGCGCATACTTAATTAAGCCCACTGCTCTCTAACTGCTTATTAGGCTCTATGTGGGACTGGCACCCATCAGTTCACAGAAAGACTACTATAGTCTTACTTATGTCTGTTGTATCATCTCTAAAGTGCATTACTATTTCAGCAACCATGTTTGCTTTACTATACAGTGATAGATAATGGTCTCATAAACAGAGAATTGAAGGACCTGTATCCTAACTTGGCCTTTGCCCAACATGGGTACATAGGGAGTTTCAGTGACATTCAAATTAGGACATGTTTTTTTCTTATGAAGAGTAAACAACACTGATATACTGTCTTGATGATGACAGATCACAACTTCCAATTAAGAATATTCATTTAGAGCAGACTTTAAGCTGGCATTTAAATCACTGATTTAACTGTTGGAAATATTTACACCCATCAATGAGGAGTGGCACATGAGTGGGAAAGAAATATAGTCCATAAATCACATTGACTTGCCTTAGGCACATTTTACTAGTCAGCAGATGCAGTACTTAGGGACATTTATTTATGTGTTTGCACAAGAACTAAGCTATAGAATTAATGTCAGGAAATATATTATTTTACACTGTAAACCAACTAATTTTAATCAAAGCTCTGGATACGTTACCATTTTAAAAATGTAGATTCATATTCTGAAAAAGTGTTTGAGTGCTATGGGGAGAGGGCAGGGCAGAAGGCAGCTATCCATTAGGGGTTTCCATATTACATACGCACAGACTCACACAAACTGGCTTCAATGGGAGTTAAATGCCTGGTGTGTTAGACTGCTTTTGAGAATTCTACTTGGCATCTCTTTTCAGCAGGCTACTAAAATAGATATATTTTTTTTTAATTTATTGAAAAACACACATCCCCTTTGCTTTTAAAATTAATCTTGTTATCCTCTGATCTAATAATAATAAAAAGCCTGTTAATGAAGTTTCCTGAGTTTTTGGCATACCTAGACTCTCAAATTTGAGGGTAGAAGATCAGAGACTAACAACAAAGGAAGTTACTGAAGAAAGGAAATCAAAATAGTTTAGGTTTTCCAGGCATAGTATCAGTGCTTACATATACTTTACTTCATTGTAAGGAATAAGTACAGCTACTTAATACAAAGGTGACATTTCTAAAACACAATTTAACCTTGAAATATGGAAATGTTCCTAGCTCAGTGCTGTAATTAAAATCTGATCAACTTTGAGTGTACACAGGTACACTTAGTATGGCTGCAAGAAGTGTTCATGTAGTTCATAACAATTGCTTACCATTCAAAATTTGAAGCCACAGTTGTCTATCTCTAGTATACCAATAAATCTGAGCATTTCATGAGTTAAAAATCCTCTTTCCTCTTTTTTTCCATATACCTTAGCTATGTTTCATATTCATAATGACCAGAGCTTAGCAGAGTACCTTCAGCTAAACTGCAAAATAAAGGCAGAATAGAATCACTCCCAAATTAGGTTAATTTGTCTCTCCACAGTACAGTCGGGTTATCTTGTTATATTTCAAATGTTGCCTGTCCACTGTGTACCAATGGTTATAACAGAGCTTCTGCTAAAATTTACTGCACAGAACTGAAAGCTGTAACGTTATTTTGCTCATCACTAGTAGACTCAAATCTTAGATTTCAGGGGTCAATTATTTAAAAATTAAGCAAAAATGGAGGAGAAAAAACCCCAAAGGTTGGTGTCTTTGTTCAATTCTGTACAAAACAGAAAAATAGCAGCTAGAGAGGTATTATAGACTGGAGAGTCACAGAATCTCCTCCAAGGCCTACAACAAAAGGGCAAGAGGCAAGCTTTACTACCTGCAACACGTTAAATTTCAGTTTTCAAACAGTGGTTGAACACAGGAACCAGTTCCAGACAGCCTATGGAATCTCTATCCTAAGAAACCGTCAAAACGTGACTGAACAAAACCAGCTCTAACTTTGTTCGCAGTGTTTGGACTGATGCTAGCATCATTTCTCTATGATTTTCAGTAAGACATTGACATCAGAGTATTATGTACTGCAGCCCAATGATAAACTTGGTACCATTATAACAATGGACTACTAAGACAAGAGACTACTTTACAATTGATCCTACTTTGTCTTAATTTTAAGATGTATTACCACATTCTTTTTGGTACTGATTTAAGCAGGTATGTTTTATTATTCTTCCTTACTAGGAAGAAAATTAACTCTATCCCAGCCAAAACCAGGACAGTCATGTACTCTTTACATTTTGCATACATCCATTAATACTCCCATCTTTACTGGACACAAAGTATGTATTCCTGACCACAACATTAATTCTTACCATCAAGGATTTTTTTTCCCCCATTTATGAGAAAAAGCAGCATGCTTTTGAATGAGGCTCTCAATGCCCTCTGGATTTTTTTTTGTCCAAACTTTTATATTCTTTAAAAAGAATTTCCATTGCACAAAAACCTTATGCTTCTAGTTTTTCTAATGTTCTATTAAAGAAGCAATACCTTCACCTTCATTAAAAAGACATTTTTCAACAAATCTTACAATAAGCTCCCTAAGATTCCTGCAGCAGACAGAAAATCAGTTTTGCTCATGAAAGTTTTTATACAAATGGCACTTCTCAAACACTGATGTTTATCTGCAGAACTCTCCGAAGTGACACTACCATCATTAGCATAGAAATTCCAAGTAATTTTAGGAAGATTTGCAGCCATTCTGGAAGTTAGCACAAGAGGTCAGTGACTGCCAAAAACAGAAGAAGGGATCATATCCTTCCCTTTCAAGTGCCAAAAAACATTTATAATGTTTTGTTTCAGATCCTGTTGCTTCCTTGTTTGTAGATAAATGGCTAAGTAGTTGTGTAGTTTCACAACATTAGGAAGAAATTTTTATATAGTACACTGGAGCAAAGCCAGGATAGAGCTGTTGAATTTTTTTTTTATTATTACTTTTTCTTACATGCATTGTATCTTTAGTTCCCATACAAGTAGACCAACTGAGTTGTATCTTACATTCAATAAAACCCTGAGCTGGGGAACCATTGTTTGAGCATTTGTCTGCCAATGAGACATCCAAGATGCATCCACCATGATTTAAACAACTCATGTTCTCTTTTACCAGACTTCCAGGTCATTCTGCGGTTTAATTCAAAGTTTAACTTGACACTAAGCTTTAAAGTTAGTATTCAGGCACACCCCTGCACTGGAAGGTTTTTATATTAGCATCGGGTAAGCATATCAAACATGGTAACTAAGTGATTAGCACCAGTCATGCATTTATGTCGTACAACTGGAGTATATCAGCTATCCAGCGTAGTTGATTCAATGTGGAGTTGATTCTTGTCAGTAAATGCCACACTGCATTTGTCCAGTGAAGTGACCTTCTGTTACAGTACATCACACTTACATGGAACTCTTAAAAGAAAGGGAGGTTATGTTTAGGTACACCACAGTCAGAAGCTTATATTCTTGGGCCCTGTCAAAATTATTAGGAGAAAAGTTACTAATATTGTTTCTAGGCATGGCATAGCTTTAATATTTTCTTTTTAAAGCCTGGTAAGCATTTTTAGTGTACCTAACAGTCCATTAAAAGTTCAGAAAGCTACAAAACCTTACCTACACTTGAGCTTTCACCAATAGGAAGCTTACTTTGTTAGATTCTCATACAGATGAAGCCTATAAATGACAGTGTACATACAATAACAGGATAAACACAGCATACCATGGAGGGAACACAAGAAAAGAGCATACAAAACTTAAGTCTGATGTCATTAATTCTGTCTTACAGAATAAAAGTGCTGTGATTTAGGTTTTTTTCATCAAAAGTAGATTTATGACAGACAATATGCTTAGACAAGTGTCTCCGTCCAGTCAAGAGCAAAATATTTATTCCACAAGTAGATTTATGACAGACAATATGCTTAGACAAGTGTCTCCGTCCAGTCAAGAGCAAAAGTTATTTATTCCTTCTCTCCACCACATATTATTTACCTCAGTGTGTCATCTGTCTTCAAATCATTGCTTAGGAACTCTAACATTTTAATGAGCACAGCTATCTGAAACAAAACACAACCTTTTCTGTGCTTTGAAGAGATCATTCTCCAAAGGTTTTCCTTCCACTGTCTCCTTTCGTTTTCTTCATTTTGCTTTTACCTTACCTTATTCTAACCAAGCCAGGGTTGGTTTTTATTGAATTTTATTTCAGGGCACGTGCTAAGCTGCAGAGCAAAGAGGTTGATCTTATCACAAGAGATTATACTGAAGGAGGTGCTTCCTTTCTTGAGGCCAAAATCCCACTGAAAGGAATGTCCAGCCAAGTTACCACTTTCACTACTCTCCAGCAACAGGCATAGAGCTTGACACATTAATCTATTTGAGTACTGAAGGCTAAACTGATTACCCCAGAAGTTATGACAAAAACCCAAACAAAACCAAAAACCACCAGTGATTAGCATCTTATCCACTCTGGGCCCAGAACAGCTTTAGCATTGTTTCAAAAGAACTGTTCTGAGCAAAGTATTCACACCATCAGTTACTTCAGAAAGAAGAAAACTCTAGTATCAGTGATAGAGAATTAGAAACTAAAGGCAAACATATACACAGAAGGATGCTACCACTCCATCCCACAACTTTTAAGAGCAACATCCTTTAATGGCCCAAGTATCCCGCAAAAGCCTATTAGCATTAGAAACTATCATACATACCGAGGCCAGGTCATACCATGCATCTCAACCTCCCTTAAACTTGAGGAAGGGAGCAAATTGTATACAATACTAATATAGAACATACGAAAAAACCTTTATTTTTCTAAGGGAATGGAAATTATTTTCTCCCTTTTCCTAACCCCCTAAATATCGGTGTTTTCTCTGGATCAATTCTCATAAATAAAAGTAGTCCTGGACAATTAAGTCAAACAGAAGACTTACCTAGCACAGTGTTCTCTCTCCAACAGAAGCCAGTAGGAATGCCTAGAAAGAAAAAGGTAAGCATATGAATGTGTTTCAGCATACTTGCAAACTTCACAATCTACAGCTCAGGAATTTCCTGGTTCAAAAGGACTGAGTTTCCCAGCAGCTGGATTTCTCTTCTATATAAGCTTCTTTTTGAAAATTAATACAGCTAAAATATTCTGTGGCAGCCAGTTCTGTAGTTAAGCTCTACACTATGCGAAAGTATCAGGTTTTTATTTTTAACTCTGCCATCTGATAACGAGGAGGAGAAGGAAGAGAATAAATGAAATGACTGAAGAGGAAAACACTTTCTTCCTGTTGATTTTCCATGACACTTGTGGAACGGGAGGGGGGGGGGGGGGAACCGCCCCCCCAAACAAAAAAAAAAAAAAAAAAAAAGATGGCAGAGAAGTGCTGGCAAATTATGTTTCTCAAAAAAATTTTAGCTTTGACCTCTAAGAAAAAAAAAAACAGAGAAAGATGAAGTCCACTATACTCTTTTTGATATGGCATAGACCAGAATTACTTATATTCAAGAGGAAGGCATAACATGACTGTATAATGATACGGTATTTTCAATTTTGTATTCTTTTTCTTCACTGACAACTCACAACACAACTTTTTCAGCACTACTTAGCACTGGTCTGTCATTTTGACAGAGTATCAATTCAGGTTTTTTTTTTTTTTTTTTTTACCGAGTGGAAGAAAATTGGGCAAAAGTCTATTGATTATAGCAGGCCTGTTTCTCCCTTAAGTACATCACTAAGTATAAAGATAAAAGCATCACTCGGAATAAGGACAAGTCTCCTAAATCAAGTGCTAGGGATACATACAGCCACTCACCCAGAAGAGAAAGTTCCCTTAAACCACCATGGCTTCTTCTTCAATGACCACCCTGACAGTGACTGTAGTTATTACCTGTAGTTATCAAGTCTACATTCTTAGAGGACAAGAATAAAAGATCAGAGGTAAGCAAACCACTATTAGGACCTACTCCCAGAACAAGAAGTATTAGAGAGAGATGTTTTCTTTAAGAGTTTACCAAATCTTCATGCAATAAGCTTTGCAGAATTGTTTTAGTCAAGATCAGTCTTATGTCTATAAAATAATTAGTAAACTTATCAGTTAAGTCAATAAATGAATTTACAATAAGCAGAATAAAGATCTATGTAAAACCAAGCCCAAAGAACACTGGAAACTTCTGAAAGGCTGTAGTAACAAACTCCATATAGTGAAATATCTGATCTGCCACACTGGCTTTATCCAAAGCCCAAGTAAACAAAACAAGTTTGTTTTAGGCTTTGACAATAAACACATTTCAGTTGTCTTAGGTCTTCAGCAATATATTTTGCCTTTAGGAAAAAAAAAAAAGTCTTAGTAAGACTTAGAAATCCCATCTCCAAGCTTGAACTTCGCATCAAATTTGTAAAGTAACATTTAGATAAGATATCCAAAATATAAACAAAGCAATGACAGCAGCTTTATTTCACAATACAGTTTATTTCAATACTTTTAATTAGCAAGAAACCAACTAAACAATACACAATTCACAATACAATCCTTATAAAAGCTGGAAAAGATATTAAGGTTCATGTCAAGTTCAGCGTGCTCTATTTTTAACTTTAGTCAAGTCCCTTCTCATTAGCAGCAACTTAATATTTGAGAAAGGATTAGGAGCAGCTAGGAAGTTAGTTTGATATAGAAGTCTATTTATGTATTTAAAAAATAAATATTTAGTCCAACAAATAATTCAGTTGAAGTTACTTAGACCTAGCCAACTAATGTAATCTCCCACTGTCACAGTATACCAAATCAAGGCTTACAGATTGCTTTAGAAAGTAGTAATTAATTGCTTGCTATTATTTTTTCATAATCATTGTGTGCTTCATAAGCATAAGTTTCATTACAAAATTCAAGAAACCAAATTCTGGACTCTCCCTTTGCTCTAGCTCACAGAAAAATGCAGTCTTCACATCCATATAGTTTGACACCAATGGAACAATTCCTTTAGCATACCTTTTTAATAGTGAAATACAGGACACTGCTCTAAGACCTGCTGAAGATACTTTTTAAAGCATTTCACAAGATCAAACCAACCCCGACAATCTCATGATTGACTTATTGGAAAAAGCAGAGTTTACATAATAGCGAACTGAAAGAAAGACCAACGCCTTTGAAAACAAGCCCAATACTTCTGTGTTTCAAGGATGCTAACAAATAGGGAAGAGGCATGAGCATCTGCTTGTCTTTAAGAGAGAACAAACTGGTTTTGAGCACTCCTGTGTGTGTGACCCATATCACGTGATAGATAGCCTTGTTTGGAGGCCAGAACTCTTTCAAGAAGTCTAGGGCATACCTGTTTTTCCTAGAGATAGTGTTAGCACTAGCAGAGACCACGACACATTTATATGCATATGGCAAATATTGAAATCTTTCAGATGACTGCTAGCAGAACAGTGAATTAGTGGCCATCTCCATGTTGTTTCACTGCACGTAAGCTATAACTTACTTTCTCTGAGAGGATTAAACTAACTTCTGCCAATTCTGACATCAGTAACTTCTGCTCTGTTGTGGTAAATTTAACTAATACGGAACTTAACATTTCCAAGATGACAGTAATATCTTTGTAGCTAGAGCAATACAAAAGTGTTGTAGTAAACTTTTACCTGGAGACAGTTTAGTCACATCTGGATATATGGCAGCAAAACCAAGATAAACAAATTATCCCAAATGGAAAACAACCAAAACATCTTAATTCTAGAAGCTGTATTTTCTGCTTATCTAAAATTATTAAATCACTTAAGTATTCTTTGTTTTATCTGACTCTTGATCTGTGCTTTGTCCTTCAGTTTCTCTAGCTTTTTGACAGAGATACAATCTAGGACTGCAAGCATTGAGTGCATGGAGTGAAGCTGATTCAAGATAATGCCACATTCTAGCAGACTTTGTCAAGAAATTCTTCTTGCACTTAGAATGAAGAAAGAGCTGCTAAGATAGCTGCCAATGAAGAAATTTAAGTGGATTAGAAATGCGGGTAAAGAGCTTTACCCCTTAGACTTGTTCCAGACTTGCTTCAAAAAGTGCCAGCGGTACAATTTTTCTGGAAAACTAGCTATTTTGGCTGAGTCTACTTGGTGTATCCTCTCATAAGAGTTAATAAAGTTTGAATATTAAAGCTGCTTCATCTGTCCTCAAAACATGTTTACAATATTGTTTTATGTAACAAATCTTAATGCAAATTCCTCCAGCCATGAAATACCAGCTATAAACTAACTGATGGTGGCCGATCTTGTATTAGGAACTTAAGCAATTGCTTAATTGTGCTCCTTGCCCCCTCAGATTCTTGAGAGTAATACTGAAATGCATGAGGACTTCCTATGCAAGTATACAGAGAAAAGTCAGAGCAGTTTCTAAAATCCCTGGTTCAGAGGTGGGGCCTTTAATTTAGCAATATACTAGGCAAGTTAGAACAAGCCACTTTTCAGCTGTATTCTTCTGTGGTGTTTTGTGGGTGGGGTTTTGTTTTTGTTTTAGACTAACCAATAGCCCTAGCTGTATCCTTGTTTCAACTGATGTAGCTGAAGTCTCTCCAGGGCTGTTACTTATTTTTTTCCACTGTTGATGCTATGGAGCCAGTGTAACTCTAGAAGAGAAACATTCCATTTCATGCACAGGTTTTTCTGTTGGCAGGGTGGTTTTTTTTTTTTGTTGTTTTTAACAATAACAGTATATTAAAATCTTTTCTAAATGAATCAATCTGTGGTGAAGTGCGTCGCTAACTTTATTTGGGGAGGAAGAAAAGCCTGGAAGATTTGCAAGTTTATTATTCCAGAAAAAACAAGTCTAGACTGGATTGGAATTACTAAATAGCAAGGCTCTGTAATAGAAGAAACTTTCTGGGGAGTGAGTATGACTATAGGAAAGCATCCAATCTTTTGTTCAAAATATTACATTAGAAAGTTGAAACAGCCTTGTTACTGCAAAGAAAAAACTTTTAAAGTGGCTGAGGCAATTAGTGTAGTTACACTTGACTATTTTGGCTATAGCCAGTACCTATACTTGGAATAAAACATTGCCACTGTCTAGGATCTTAGCTCACCTGCTTTTGTTAAGAGATATCAACTAGCTGCATCCTCAGGAAATCTGTAACAGCTGTGGAAGATCAGACTGTTTCTCTCATGAACTCTAGGACAGTTCTTAAATAGAAATAACATACTGTAAAATACCATGAAAAACACAGGTGTAGGGTAAACCCACAAGTCTAGCCTGTTCACTTTCAGAAAATCCTCTTGAGTGCATATAAAGTGAAACACAAATCTGATTTTTCTCTTAAGCAGGTAACAATGATCTCTGCTCTACAATAGTTTCTCTTCATGAAATTTGCATGAATATGCCTTAGGTAACTTTGAAGTTACCTTTCACACCAGCAGTGTAGCCAAGATGTTGCATTCAGCAAGAATTTAGTTTACAATCTGGATAAACTCACCATGGAGCTCAGCACAGCTCACAGACCAGTGCAACAAAGATAGCCATCCTGTGGTGGCACAGCTAGGGGATTGCAACTGACAGCTTTGGGGCGATAAGCCTGTACCTCAGACTGCAAGCATGTCCCTAGTAATTAGTGATGCAGATATCAGCCCTGTGGCTCAAATTATCTCTCAGTAAATACTTCCCCATGTGCAATTTCTTAGTTGCCTGTGTAAGACTGTTTATCTTGTAGACAAGGAAGTGTTCGTATACGCCACTACTTCATATCATGTGGAAATGACTTGTGTATCATGCCCTGGAAACCTCTGCTCTGAGGCACAGATGAAAATTGTTCTTCTCTTGCTATGGCCTCACACTATAGCAATGGATACACTAGTTATTTGCATGCTATAACGTGTTAAAATTTGAAGAGACTGCTTACTTTGGAGAAAAAGATACAGACGCTTAACATGAATGCCTTTTAAAGACCAACCTTAATAAGGTAGAGATTTTTCTTATCTCCCTTTTACCAACAGTTTGAATGTACAACT